TTGACAGTTGAACCAGGCTAAAAGAAAAAAGCTCGGATCTCTTTGAGGTCCCTTTCTAGGCTGGCCCGGGTCTGAGCAAGCTTCCAAAAAAAACATCTATCTCATTGTTGACCTGGCTTGCATTGGTGGCAAATGGACTCTGTAGAGGTGGTGGAGGAGGAAGACGAACAAGAGGTTTGCACTTGTCCAAGAAAGTGTACTTCCTTATACTTCCTTATACTTCCTTATATGATGAGACTCACACAGGGGTGTCAAACTGTCGGTCCGCGGGGGGCCAGATGTGTCATGCTGAAACCGCACCCACCCCATTGCCGGCAATGGAAAAAAAGTGACGATATGTCACGACGCATCACATGACGTTGTGAGTTTGACACTCCTGATGTAAGGCATAAATAGACGTCTTCAAGAATTCCCTCCAACACCTACAAAATGGGGGTGTGGTGAAATGGAGATTTTTGCCCTCAACCAATCCAACGGTATTATTGTGGTTTGCAAGTCCACAGAATCAGATCCATTAAAATTTATCATTAATCAATGTGTTGTAGAAGCAGAACTGCTTGAAGGAAACGTTCTCAGCGGTGGCCTTTCTTAGCTACAGGATTCCCACACCTAGAACTTTTTGACATACCCCTCCTCTTTTATTGATTTTAATATTCTTCTTCTTAATACTCGTGCTGCCGTCGAGTCAATACTTTTTTTAAAAAAAAATTGCTGGGTTTTTTTTTAAATTTTTCCATTTAGCTCCTCTCTCAAATGTATTTGCTTGTATTTCATTTCAAGCCTGGGTAAATGTGTTGTTTTTGAAGTCTGGTTTTTGTTTTTTTGGTAACTTGAAGACCTGAGGCTAGTGAGAGAGGAATAGGGTTTAGAAATAAATAAATAACCAGCAGAACAGCCAACTTGCACAGCCTTTCTCGCCCTCCTCCCTTTCTCCATTCCTCCCTCTCTCCCTCTAGATCGTATAGGCTGGAACTAATAGGATCGACTCTGTTTCATTAATTCCCTTTCATGTGCTCTGAAGGGATTTCCACCACACGTAACACATTTTACTCCACATTTATCATGGATTAAGAAAATGCAGTGAGCTAATGTGAACCGCAGATGCACTCTTCAAGCGAGACACGGGACAGGAGGCACTTGAGTCTGGGGGGATTGTAGGAAAAGATTAAATAGCACACACATACCCTCCTCCTCCTCCTCCTCCCATAGTCTTTTCCCTGGTGCAAGGACAGCCTTTTCATCAGTTTTAAAATCCCCTTGTTGTCCCTTCTCTATGCGGCCAGGAAATTCTAATGAGCTGGAGAGCAGTGAGGTGTTGGAATCATAGTTAAACATGACAGAAGGGCAGAACTGGGCAATGGTACATATCCCAAATGATTTCCCTTGCAAGATTGAACCCAAAGGATTCTCCTCTAAGAATCTTATTCTGGGCCAAGGATGCGTAACACCCAGTGGTGGGATTCAAATAAGTCAACAACCGGTTCTCTGTGTGGATGCCGCTTCTGGAAATCCGTTCTGGGCCTGGGCAACAAAAAATTAGCTACCGGTTCTGCCGAAGTGGCTGAATCCCACCACTGATAACATCCCTGGATCAGATGCCTTCTCACCAACGCTGGGTGACACAAAGAGAAACTTGAATTCTTTTACATGAAAAAAACAACAGGTAGTCCTGATTGATGACCACAGATGGGACCAGAACTTCCACTACACTGTTACATGAGTCACCTCCAATTTTATGACCTTTTTGCCTTTTTGGCCCTGGTTGTTGAACGTGCAGTCATTAAACCCACAATTGTTAAAGGAATCAGGCTTCTCCAGTTAACTTTGCTTGTCAGATGCTGGCTGGGAAATACCGATCAGATGACCTCAGGATGCTGCAACTGTCAGAAATAGGTGCCAGTTGCTTAGCGCTCAAATTTTGATCCCAGGATGGTGAGGATGCAGCGGTGATTATAAATGCAAGGAGCAGTCCTGAGTCACTTTTCGCAGTGCCACTTTAATGGTGGACGGTCACTAAACAAAGCAGCTGTAAGTCGGGAACTACCTGCATTCAAAATTAAATGTTGTGAATATTATTATAAAATGTCATACTTAAGGCCAATCCAAACAAAAGCACCTATTAGCACATCCAGAGCTGTATTCTGTGTTCCTCTCTCTGTCTCTCTCTCTCTGTGTGTGCATGTGCCTATGTATTACATTCATTGTCATCTATGCAGTATTGCAGGCTAATTCTGCAGACTGCCAGGGGTTCAATCCACACTGGCTCAAGGTAGACTCAGCCTTCCATCTTTCCAAGGTTGGGGAAGACTGGCCTCGTTTAAGTATAATCCACTTGTGGCCATCTGATTGCAAAGCGATAGCAATAGACTTATATACTACTTCATAGTGTTTAAGCGGTTTACAGAGTCAGCATCTTGCCCCCAACAGTCTGGGTCCTCAGTTTACCAACCTCGGAAGGATGGAAGGCTGAGTCAACCTTGAGCTAGTGGGAATCGAACTGCCAAACTGCTGGCAATCCACAGTCAGCAGAATTAGCCTGCAGCACTGCATTCTAACCACTGTGCCACCACAGCTCTTACAAGTAGAATACAGAGCAAGAAATAGCTCTATATCAGTGGTGGCAAATCTATGGCACGCATGCCAGAGACGGCACGCGAAGCCCTCTCTGTGGGCACGCGCCATCGCCCCAGCACACGTGGTCTCTAAAAGTTCGCCATCACTGGCCTAAGGCCAGCCAGCCTGGAGCCGCCATTGGGGAGCCCACCGTCCCACCCACCAGAGACCCCCTGGAACTCCCCCAACCCTGCCTGGCTCTCACAGGTGTCCCTCCCCTAAGCAACATCAAGGTGGCCACGCCCACCCCAGCCATGCCCACCCAGTCTGCCATGACTACTGCAGCCACACCCACCCAGTGGCCATGCCTACCCAGTCTACAAAGCCCACTACAGCTGCACCCGCCGAGTGGGCCACATGCACCCGGCACCTGGCAATACATAAATGGGTTTTGGGTTGTAGTTTGGGCACTCGGTCTCTAAAAGGTTCGCCATCACTGCTCTATATTCTACTGTTGTCAAGCTATCTCCTCTAATGCAGTTTTGCCCAACTTGATCATAGAGTCAAGTGATAATTTAGAGACGCACACTAAACACTGCTGATCACAGATTGGCATTGCTCTACTTTGGACTTGGCTGGCCTGAAGAACCTTTGATTTTGCAAAGGTTTTGTCAACACCACCTAAGCTCCTACTGTAGGATTCACTCCTTTGCAAATCCATTTTGCAACATCAGGGCACACAGCAAGCCCTGCTAGATCGTAATCACAGGTCTGCTCAGCAGCCCCCACTTTCAACTTTCCATAAAGTTAGCAACCCACACCAGAAGTATAAGATCTCAAGACAAAAATTGTTGGCCAGTGCTCCGTTTCAGTTTATACAAGAGTGCCACCTAGCGTCTTCAAGTAAGCTTGTGATGAATAAACCTCTAGCATGATTTTCCACAATCTCATTTCTTCTAGACATGTTGCATTTTAAGTTCCAGCATTATCACTTAGAATTCCAAGGAACCTGGAGAGCATTAAGCTAAGAAAGGCTGGTGTGTTTAAAGAGATACTCTAGGTATCGCTTAGTGGCTGAACTATTTATTTATTGAGAGACACAGAGAGAAGGAGGAGGAGGAGGAGGAGGAGGAGGAGGAGGAGGAGGAGGAGGAGGAGGAGGAGGAGGAGGAGGAGGAGAAGAAGAAGAAGAAGAAGAAGAAGAAGAAGAAGACGAAGAAGAAGAAGAAGAAGAAGAAGAAGAAGAAGAAGAAGAAGAAGAAGAAGAAGAAGAAGAAGAAGAAGAAGAAGAAGAAGAAGAAGAAGAAGAAGAAGAAGAAGAAGAAGAAGAAGAAGAAAGCATAAAATATTTAATGTGCCTTATGAATAGGTCAGATGAAGAAAAACATATGTTAATGTTTAAGACATCTCACAATGCTACATCATGTTGGCTGCAGTAGATGGCTATCTAGTTGATGAAATATGTCCTTTATAGGGAAAATTATTTATGGTTGTAATCCTACTTATCTAGGTATTGAATTGAATGCAACATGCTCATGAATAAACATAGATAAGACTGCACTCCAACCATATTTTCTTCACACGTTTGCAGCATATACAAATACCTTCAAGGCCACTTAATTGATTGTGGAGTAGGACGTTTCATCGATTACTGCCTGGCTAGCTTTCATAGGCATCCATTTTTCACAAATTCCACCCACCCACCCAACCCCAGTGGTGTCTGTGTATCTGTGAGTCTGTGTGAATACTGACATCGTGTGCAAAGAGTTACAGGTGCTGATCATGACAATGCCAAACTGATTCAGCAACATGCGTTGTAATCTCAAAGGTGCTTTTTCAAAAGGCAATTTGACTGTTTTTTTTTGAGGAAGAAGAAAATGTTTTGTTTCTTATCCAAGAAGCTTCAGCAGTTGTGACTGGATGGTGGGGGGATGGAAGGATAGGTTCTGACAAGATTGGAGGGGTGGAATTATTATTTTTGCAGTCATTTGATTGTTAGCGCTCTCTCTGAGTACCATTGACAATAAACTGATGAAGCTTCTTAGATAAGAAGCAAAACCTCTTCTTCTTCCTTCTTAAAAAAAAAACGGTTGTCTTTTGAAAAAACACCTTTGAGACAAATATGACCTGGATGACTGAGAATTTCCAGACGTGCACTCTAATGTTGCAAGCTCTTTCTTCTGCAGCATCTCAGAGGCAGAGTTTGTCTTGCATTATTTCATCACCTGTTCCTCCCTCCCACCCTTTCCCTGAGGATGCTTGATTCCCTGCTTGATTTGCTTCCTCTGGGGGCAATCCTGGAAGTCTAAGCCTTTGTAAAGAGGAGGTTAAAATTCAGGCAAGCTTTGACTCCACCGAGCCCATTGCTACGTTTCCATTCTTTCTGCTGGGTGCAATTCTCCCAAATTCTCCAACCTGTCGGCAGTACATTCACAAGTCTCACAAAGTTTGGATGGAATCACCAGGTTTTATGGCAACTAGTTGGTCCTCATCACTTTTGCAAATTAAAAAAAAAAAGCTGAAGCAATAATTGTACGCTGCTTGACGGATGTTACAGATAGCAAGTTAGCGCCCTTTGAGACATGCAGAACTTGGAGCATTAAACCAAGCGTAATTACTTAAGGCAAGTCCAAGCAATCAGTGGAAACACTCTTAATCTAGAAGCAGGGTCCAGACTTCTTCCGTTTACTAGGCAAAACCCATTAGCATGTGCAGAAGTGCTTAGAATTGACTTACTGCTACCTCTGGAAACTATATATACACTCATATATACACTCTGCCAGCTGTCTTTAAGCATTGATTTCCATGGTGTTGGGCTCCCCCTGCTGCTCTCGGATGAGATGAGGCCCAGCAGTCCGAACCAAGCGAGTGGGGTGTGGGGCCCGCCCAGGTGAGCTGGGAGGCCTGGTGGGGGAGCTCTGTGTTCTGGAAGTGACTGGAGACCTGGCAGGGGAGCGATGGTGTCTACGGGCAGCCCAAACAGGCAGTCCAGGAGATCTTGCAGGAGGAGGTGGAGAATTGGAGTAACTGGGTGGTGAAGGTTGAACAGCCTCTCTGGAGTCAGGCACGGATTCCACTTCAGCTTCAGGAGAGTCCTTTGAGAAACGGGAAAATACAGGAAGCTGCAGTCAGAAACAAAGAATAGACTCTAACGATCCTCATGCATGGTGACCGCTGTTAGAAAAGCAGGTTGAATTCATGGATTTATTCGTGTTTAGGCAACTGCATATCCCAGTGGTGGCGAACCTATGGCACAGGTGCCAAAGGCGGCACTCAGAGCCCTCTCTGTGGGCACGCACACCATCGCCCCAGTCCTGGGCCTTCAGCTGGGTTTTATAAAACCTTTTCGCTTTAGGCCTCCGCTGCCATGTGCAAAAAAAAAAAAAAGGTTCAATCAGTCAATTTCAAGTTCTTGCGGGAAAAAAAAAGATCTTGCAAAGTTGGAATTGATTGATTTAGTCCCACCCAGTCTGCCATTACCACCGCAGCCCCACCCACCCAATGGGCCACACCCAACCAGCATTCGGCGATGCATAAGTGGGTTTTGGGTTTTAGTTTGGGCACTCAGTCTCTAAAAGGTTCGCCATCACTGGCATATTCCATTCCATTTATGATCCAGGCTCCCAAATTAACCTCTGAAATTTTACTATTAGCTTCCTTTAAGAGGAAAAGCAGTATGTAACTACTACTACAATATCACGTGGGGGAAATTTACAGTGGTCTATGAAGATTCTCAATCTCCCAGGTCCCAAAGGTGCTTTTTTCCAAATGGCAACTGGACTTTCCTGCTTTGAAAAAGTTTCACTTCTCATCCAAGACGCTTCTTCGGTTCTGGACAGAAGTGCACTGAGAGCTGAAGAAGCTTCTCAGATAAGAAGCGAAATGTTTTCAAAGGGAGCACAACCAACAAAGTCCAGTTACCTTTTGGAAAAAAAAAAAACACCTTTGAGACATAATCTACAGTTGGATTCTCTGTAGCCACCCCAGCCCTTTGGAATAGCCTTGCATCTGAGATTTGAGGGGCCTCTATCCGTTTAGCTTTTCAGGAGACTGTGAAAACCTGGCTTTTCCCCTAAATGTTGGGCTAGGATGGGGCTGTCAGGATGTCAGTAGTTTGGTTGGAAGTGGGAAAGCTATTTTATTTTTAGTCCATTGTTTTTACTGATTGTTCTGAGCTGCTTACTAGGTGAGATCACCAGCTGATTCAGGCGGTTATATCAGTGCTTTAAATAAGTAAATAAACCAATTAAAGATTTGTTGACCATAGGGGAATGGTTTGTTATATTATGAATATTAAATAACAGAATATCAGAGTTGGAAGGGAGCTTGGAGTTCATCTAGTCCAACCCCCTGCTCAAGCAGGAAACCCTGTAACATTTCAGACAAACGGTTGTCCAATTTCTTCTTAAAAACCTCCAAGGGAAACAAGGTTGCCTCCAACAGCAAAGAGAGGTCAGCCACAATCTTTTCCAGGTTCACATTAATCCTGGGAGACATCACTTTATAATGTTGAATCTTTCCGTAGGCTTGTCCATGCCATCTGTATGAAGGTTAATTGTTGACGTGTGAGTTAAAAGCAGTCCCCAAACCACAAAGCCTGAGATATACCTTGTCCTGCAGGATATACAAAGCCACTGGATTCTTGCGTTCGTGTTCACTGCTTCTAGGAACGACCTCAACTGCATAATAAAGCAAAAATGAAAATTGGTATTGTTTTAGGGCAGACATGTCAAACACAAGGCCCGGAGGCTGGATATGGCCCGCGAAGTGGTTTCATGTGGCCCACGAAGCCATCCTGGAAACAGTGAGGGAACGGCCCCCGCTGCCTTGGCCCTGGCCCAGGCCGGCCGGGAGCCAATGTACAATTTTGCGGTGGCCATCTATGCCGAAACGTATTCAATCTTAGCTCCACAAGGCCATCTGGAAACAGCAAGGAACCAGCCCCTGCTGCGTCGGGCCCACCTCCTGGGTGCATGCTGGGGAGGTGTGAGGAATGAAGAAATGGACCATGCCTTGGTGCATGCCCTGGTCCCACCCCCTTCTGCCAGAGACCCTCAGATCTGTCCCACTGCTGCCCAGGCCCCCACAGACACCCTGGACACGAATGATATAGAGCTGGCCACGCCCACCCAGTAGGCCACACCCACTCTGTCCACACCCACCCAGTAGGCTGCACCCACCCTGGCCATACCCACCCAGCCCCCGAGGGCAACTGCAATGCTGATGTGGCCCTCAATGAAATTGAGTTTGACACCCCTGTTTTAGGGTCTTTTTAATGTGTAAAAACACTCCTTGTGAACTAGTTGGGAATGTGCCAGTGATAGGTAGCTTTGAAGGACTTTGTTGCTAAAAGACCAAGTTGTATGACTGCACTAAGATCTCCGTTGGTTGTAGATCTTTCCTGAGACCTCTTTGTCCAGCTCTGTTAATATATATCTGTGGTTGTGGCTGATCTGCACCTCTACTTAGCAAGACTGAATTTGCAGTCAAGTAGCTTGCCTTGATCTCTGCTGTCTTATAGTGCTCTCGTTGACCCAATTTAATGTTCTTGACTGGGTTACTTCAGTTGAATTTGTCTAAAATAGCCTGTCTCTTCCTTTGCTTTTTCAGCAGCATAAACCTAGTATCTCCAAATTAAAGCAAGGTTCCATTGTTCATTCTCATTGATAAGAACCATCCACTATACATTTGTGTACCCTTCACTGAAAAGTTCTGTAAACTACGAATCCTTGTCACAACTTGGGGCCCAGCCTGACCTTAGTAAGATGGGTTGTCAATAATACACTGACTAGAAATTCTGGATATTGTGATCCTGCACATCTGGAAAGCATCATAGAGAGATAACAGTCTGGGATGGGGTGAATTATTTTACCATCATGTTTGAAATGTTCTTCATTCTGGTCCAGATATTCTGAGGAACTTTGCTTCTCTAGTTTCTTTTTGTTCCTGTAATGAAAGAGAACCCAAGAGCTTGCCTTAGTGATTTTGCTTGGTTATGGTAAAGCCATCTTGACATCCTAGGGATGAGATACCACATACAATGGACAACTGGCAGTTCAGCTTCCAACAAAGCTGATCAAAATGTGTCCCACGATGACAGGTGGAAAATGCCTGACTTATTATATGCTGTCCTCTACCCAGGTTTGCTCAATGTTCCACCAACCAGAAAGACCAACTAACATGAGGGAAAAAAATTAAGAAACTCTCTCATCCATTCTCTCATATATGTTTTCCACTAGTTCCCAGTATCTGCTGATATATCTGCTAACAAAATACTGGAGAAAAATGAAAAAAATAAATCATGGTGCAGGGTGCAGAGAGCCAAAAGTCTTATCTTTTGTGTAAGAGCCCTTAACCAACTTTTTTGGACGCTCATGAAGAAGGTCTCATTAAGCTAAAATTGTAGGAATTGAGCTATAAGAACTATGGGTTCTTATTAAGGACAACTCAAACATTATTAACCTCAGCAATTGCAATGATGCAGAAACTAACAATCTACCCCAGAGGAGCCAAGGATGGGCCTGATCTATCATACTTTGCCATTCTCCAGAGTTTTGAAGAAATAAGTTGATTGTGGAGTTCATAACAGAATCCCTATGCCTTGTGACTCTGGAGAAACAAGGCAGTTCAGTACATGGTCCTTGTTTGTGATTATTATAGAGACTCTCCAGAACCCTGTTTAGCACCCTCACCCATCCTACAAAACAGACAAGTTTTACATTGCTGCTGTCAGACACCGATCAAGATATAACAAAGGAATGTTGCCTTCTATTGTCCAGTTGCAATGAAGACATGAGAATTGCTGATTTCTTCAGCTAACTTTGATTTCATTTACAATTCCTATTTTGAAAATTTAGGCTACTTCTCATTAACTGAAATACTATTACACAGAGCTCTGATCTTTGATCATCATCAAAGGATTTGATTTGATCCAGAATTTCACTAATGTGCATTATCAAGGAAGCAGTTTCACATCCATCTACTCTAATCCAGGGAGAAGAAAGACTTGGGCTAAATTATTCTTTTCCACTTCAGGATCTGAGGTTTGTTCCAGTTACATGTATAACCTTATAAAGCATTGGGCTGTACATTTTTGCAGCTGCTAAAGAGATATAAGCAATGAGAAGCAAGCAAAGGTGAAAATGACTTTCATTTTTTTAAAAAAAAAAAGTTTTCCAAAATGGATCTCTGAACCCCAATTTTGTTTCCCTTGTTTGGCTGATCCTTCAACGTGATCCATAGGATTGACTTATTAAATATACCTTGGACTACACTGCTAAATGCCTTCTAAAAGCATGCTTCCTTAATTATTGTTCCAAGGTAAATCCATAATTTCCCTTCACGATTTTGCTGGGAAAAACAGAGCAAAGGGTGCATTTCAACAGGATGGACACCATTTTGAAAAGTAGGGTTATTTCAGATCAGCTCAAGTGAATGCAGCAATGGCCTGGCTTGGATAACACCCCAGCACCAGAGCCAGCAGGCTTGTACCAAGGTTACAATAAAGCAAAAATTAAACCATCTGCTGTTAGAAGATGTCTTGTCTTAAAATGTGTTTCATTTCATTTGGGAAAAATTTGAGGATGTTGGTAATTGTAGATAATGCCCAGGTCTATATTTCCCAATAGGGACATTATGTTTAAGTTATATGCATTCGGGTTCATACTTCTTGGATGGTTTCCAGCAGGCACAGACAGTCACTAAGGTACCCAGAAGGAAAATTCCCCCGGTGGACAGGATTATATAGAGAGAGCTCCTTCCTGTGAAAATACAAAAATTGAATTAGAAATGTGATTAATTAAATGAAAAGAGTAACACTTGAGATTGGCCTAAAGGATTAAACTAAAAGGTTGTGGCCTTATGCTGAATTTCTGATCTCTGAGGGAAAAGGGAAAATTATCAGGAAGATGTTTGATGAAAGTTTCTGCTTTTACACTCGTATACATATTGTACATACACTTATATAACTAGCAGGCTGGAACCCCTGAAAACTAAAATCAAAAACTTCCTTCCTTCCTTCCTTCCTTCCTTCCTTCCTTCCTTCCTTCCTTCCTTCCTTCCTTCCTCCCTCCCTCCCTCCCTCCCTCCCTCCCTCCCTCCTTCCTTCCTTCCTTCCTTCCTTCCTTCCTTCCTTCCTTCCTTCCTTCCTTCCTTCCTTCCTTCCTTCCTTCCCATGACTATTATAAACTGCTATTCTTCCAAAGTAGTGCCTTAGCACCTTCATATTACATGGCAAGGAATAGTCTGCCAAAAATAATGTGTTTCCTTCAAGAACTGGAAGTTCACACCATGCAAAATTCAGAGAAAGACATTTTGCAATGTGCACCATCCGGGGCCATCTGGCTACAGTCTGTACAACTCTGGCCTTACCCTTGATTTATAACTACCTCCTGAGTTTTATTTGGAGGCAATATTTCACACTCTTGTTTTAGAGAATCCATGGAGATTTGGCTGCCTTCTTTGGCATTACCTGCCAACTCCAGCTTAAAAGCCAGCAAAACATCTCCATTCTTCTGATCTCCCCTTTCCTTTGTAGGATACTGTCAAGGGGAGGGGTCATGCCTGGGTTAGGTCAAGTTTCTGAACCAAAAGAATGTTTTGCTTTAAAGATATTATTCTCCATTTTTGTGTAGGGGGAATAAGAGGTACCTGAGAGGAAGAATAGATAAAGAAAGTTGTGGAAAGCTGAGTGGGCACTTGTTCATGGATGCTGCCATGAATGTAGCAAATCAGGAGAATGCCAACATGATGGTATCCGTTCAGTGATGCCATAATGCAAATGCAATCATCAGATCCTTGTATGAACTCTTTGAGATAGTCAGGAAACAGACACTGCATGAAGTACTGGAACTTAATGTAGGATGCAATAACTGAGTTATGAAAATCTGACAGAGATTTTCTTCCTGTACATGTATCTATAGCAATGGTGGCGAACTTATGGTGCCAGAGGCAGCACTCAGAGCCCTCTCTGTGGCCACGTGCATCATCGCCCCAGTCCTAGGCCTTCAGCTGGGTTTTATAAAACCTTTTCTCTTTAGACCTCCACCACCATGTGCAAAAAAAAAAAAAAAAGGTTCAATCAGTCAATTTCAACTTCGGGAGAGGGGGGAAGTTCTTGCAAAGTTGGAACTGATTGATTGAACTGCCAGTCTGCCTTTACCACTGCAGCCATGCCCACCCAATTGGCCACACCCACCCAATGGGCCACACCTACCCAGCACTCAACGATGCATAAGTGGGTTTTGGGTTGCATTTTGGGCACTCGGTCTCTAAAAGGTTCGCCATCACTGATCTATAGATTTCAAGTGCTCCTCCTACTGCACAAAGCAACACAATTGTAAGAATGGTCATGGGATGTAAGTGAGGAGAAGAGGTCTATGGAGATTCTCAGTCATCCAAGTCATGGTTGTCCCAAAGGTGCTTTTTCAAAAGGCAACTGGACTCTGAAGAAGCTTCTGGCATGAGGGGCGAAACATCTTCAAGGGGGAAAAAAATAAAGAAAAGTCCAGTTGCTGTTTGAAAAACCACCTTTGGGTTAGGAGCAGAAGGCAAAGTGAGCAATATAATAAATTCTTCCTTGAGTCAACCTTGATTTCTGTTGATCAGGCAGACACTCTTGTTTTCTTGGCAATAGTATCAAAGCTCTTTGCTAATGTCAAAACTGATTTCAAACTCAATGTTTTCCCTGTTTTACTCTTTAGATTTATATCTCACTATAACCTTTACTCTTCCTACGGCATCTCCTTTCTCATTACCCTATTATTTTCAATTTGCAAAAGTCTTTTCAAAGGCTTTCCAAGTAGCAAACAGATCAAAATATACACATAAAAACGAGACTGACACAGAGCTATTAAACAGTCAGACTCTAGTTCAAAACAATAAACAGCACTTAACTAATCATCATTACTTCAATTCAAAAGGCCTGGCTGAGGAGGAAAGCAACAAACAGAAGACACAACCCAAATTTGAAGTATCATTAAGAGGGAACACTCTATTAATCTGAGTTTGCCAGAATAGCTAGCCAACTCTCCAAGCCCTTATTATCAGCACCATGATTATTATCTTTTTCTTTATATTTCTTTCTAAACATTTATGTTGACAGCAGCAAGAATCTTATATGCATGAAGATGTAAAGACTCTAATTCCCACAATGAAGAGTGGATGGTAAAGGTGATGGAGATAGCAGAGATGACTGCTTTAATTAAAGAAAAGAATTTATCTGGCTTTGTTTTAACTAGGAAAATGCTTCTGGACTTTTCTCAGAACTCAAAACAATGAAACTTTGATTTTAGTTTTTTGGTGATTAGAATGATTTTATAATTACAGAAATGGCTTGAAATGTTGTGAAATGTAACAAAAGGCTGAGGTTGTATTATTTTTATAATCTACTGAATCAAAGAAAGTTGGAAGTCATTCCTTATTTCTCTTATTGCTCTTTTCTTTCTTTTCTTCTTCTAATTTTTTTTTCATTTTTATCTTAGCATAAAACTTATTTTAAAAAGTATTCTAAACAAATATTTTCTTTATAACATTTATCTACTGCCCATCTTTCTCACAGAGTGACTTTGGGCAGTGAACAAATAAACATAAAAACATTATATATATATATATATATATATATATATATATATATATATATATATATATATATATATATATATATATATATATTGCAATATATATTTGCAATATATATATATTGGAAAATTTGCATAAAAATACGACTCCTGGGCATGTCTATGGTACAAATAAAATACGAACACCAGGAGAGTATAAATATAAAAATATACTTTACTAAAAGCTGCCAAGCTTTCGTTTGGAAACTCCAAACATCATCAGGGCTAAGGAGCCAGTAAACAATGATGACTTAAATGGGTTTTGCCGGCATCTGCACCCGGCTCATGGACCGCGTCACCGGTCCCGGCCGGTTAATTAGTGTTCCAGATGTTTCTTTATTACTCTCCTTACGCTTCCTTCTATGGTTCTTCCAGATCATATATATATTATCATAAAAACAATTAAAAACAAGAATAAAATAGTTAACATTCAAGATTTGGTACTACAGACAGGTGTATGGATTTGTGAATCCCACACTTACTGTACACCGTCAGTTTTACAGGAACACTTTGTCCTTTGCTAATAGGGTTCTCTACCAGACAGCTGTAAGTGTCGTCATCGGACATCAGGACTCTAGTGATGGTGAGGGTTTTCTGATCATGGGAGAGGATCAGCCGAGAGTCATTGATAAGAGGCTTGTTGTCCTTCATCCATGTATAGATGGGCTTAGTGCCATTCGCATGGGAACAGTTGAGAGAGAAATATTCACTCAGCTCCAGCACAGTTGAGGAGGCCAAGGCAACGTGGGGCCTTGAAACCGGAACTAGAATCAACGAAGAAAAAAAATGGCATCTCATTGGTCTTGAAGACACAATAATGGACAAGGAAGAGGGTTGATGGGAAATGCATTTAGTGGAATTATTCAGGCTGTTCTGCTTCCCTTATAGCTTCTTCATCCATCTCAAAGAGAAAGACAATAATTCACATTGTTTAATTGACCTTGATTGTATATAGACTGCTGAGCAGAAAGTGATGCCACGTGGGGTTTTTTTACAGTTAAACCCAAGTCAGCTGCAGGATCTAATCTATGAGACAAAGTAATCTGACGTTTCCAACCTTTCTCTCACCTGGCCAGCGCTGGAAATAATGTTCATTATATTTTCGATGTACCAGTTCCTCAAATGAATATTCGGAAAGCACTTGTTAACGTAATCTCTAACCATGCAACTTCCATGATGGAAGGCTCTAATTTAAGGACCTGCAAGTGGAAGTTATGTCAGTACTGAACTGAACTGATATGGTGATGTGGATGAAGGTTTCATTTCCTTGTCAGCTCTTTGAGATAGGCCAGGTCAAGAAATGGAATTGCTAGGAGTTTTACGATGCACTTTAATGTAGTTAGAGTACTTTAGCAAAATCTTGAAAGCCTGTTTACCTTGACTTATACCCACACAATCATGATAGAATTTCTTGAAGTTTCTTACATTTCTACTTTCTGAAGATTTAAATAACTTTCCAGCAATCTGAGTCAAACCTACGGTCCATTACTCACCGACTCCATACGGACTAAGGAAGAAACTATTCGATCAGACAGTCAGTCATGCCCTAGTCACTCATCATTTGATTACTGCAATGCATTCTACATGGGGCTGCCATCCCAACTGGTCCAGAAGGCAGCAGCACCAACAGTGCTGGATATACAGTTTCTTAATAAGCCCATATAACATCTCCACTTTGCAAGCTGCACTGATTCTGGTTGTGATTAAAAGTGTGGGTGTTACCTATAAAGCCATACATGGCATAGGAGCTAGTTATTTAAGGGACTACCTGCCACTTTGATCTTGATTCTGGTTAACCAGTGGAACAGCTTGCCCTCAGAAATCGTGGGCGCTCCATCACTGGAGGTTTTTAAAGAGAGACTGGACAGTCACTTGTCTGAGATTGTATAGGCTAGGGCTTTTCAACCGGTGGTACATGTACCACTAGTGGTACGTTGGCATCTGGCAGGTTGAACAGCACTGTAAAAAAATGTTTAAAAAGTGTAAAAGTGGATGAGGTGAAGCAGCAGCAGTGCTGCAGAGACTTGTGGGAAAGTCAGCTGGAACTGCACGTTGCCTGGGTCTCAACCCAACCTACCTTACAGGATTGTTGTTTTGGAGAAAACAGGAGGAGGAAGGAGTATTAGGTATGTTCGCCGCCTTGAGTTGCCTATTAAGTAATAACAGCATGACAAAACTCTAATAAATAAATAAATGAACTGATGTGTTGTTTGGGCCAAGGAATAGTAATGCTAACTAATATGTATGTGAGGTAAATAAAAATCAATAAATCACTAAATCATTTTTTTCTAAGATCAACCTACCGTCCACTGTAAGATTAATGCTCATTTCGCCTGTAAAAGTGTCATCTGTGATGGAAATTTCCACCTCGTAGGTCCCTTCATCAGATAACTGCAACTCATTGATCAGTAGAGAGCCGTTCTCGAAGATTCTTATCCGATCTCTATACTCTGGGCGCAGGTTCCCTATGATCCCTGTGCCGATGGACTGGACTATCGTCACTGCCTTGTGGCGTTTCACTTGCCATTTGATCACAGGCTTGTCATGGCTTGTGCTGGTGTATTTCACAGAGAGCAGGGCGGGCTTGCCAACTGTACCATGAATGAATAATACTGGACTGGTGATATTGACTCCGTCTATCAGCTCTAATGGAGGAAAAGAAACAGAAATATAACCGATATTAAACAGGAGCCCTGGTGGCACAATGGTTAGAATGAAATATTGCAGGCGAACTCTGCCCACAGTCTGGAGTTCGATCCTGGCTGGCTCAAGGTTGACTCAGCCTTCCACCCTTCCCAGGTGGGTAAAATGAGGATCCAGATTATTGGGGCAATAGGTTGACTCTGTGAACCGCTTAAAGAGGGCTGTAAAGTCTATGGGGCAGCATATAAATCCAAGTGCTATTGCTGTTGCTATTGCTGACTTATTTGAAGTCGCTAAACATGCTTTCATGGTGCTCACCAAGGGAATATCCAGAACTGATAAGTTTATAATCAAGAACTCCCTGATTAGAAAGACTATGCTGAATGTGGATGACGGAGCTGCAGTCCAACATTCCCAGAAGACAACTCACTGGGAAAAGAGGATTAAGTTGTGAGGACCCAGTACACTTCTGTCCCGTAAGTGCACATCTTTTGCTCTTAGTGTAGCTCCTAACATAAAACTGGAGTGCCACATTTTGCATATTTCATTTAAAAATCATAGCACCAATTTAACTAGAAGCTTACTGAGACCAATATTGAATGAATAGAGCTTTTGTTGTGTGAACGTTACAAGATGGGCTTAAGGATCTGTGTTATTGATACAAAGGAGAAAAAGAGCAAGGACGAGATCTACCAAGTCATTGGATAATTAATTAAATTCAACAGAAAATAAAGGTTGAGGTTGCAGTCATGAGCACACTCGAGTGTAAACACTAATGAATGCCATAGGGTACATTTGGCATTGCATAGTGTGTTCATTACAGCATGCTTGTTTAATTATAGACTATACATTTCATTCCAGGGCTGGTAATGTAACTGGCTAATTAACAGGGGTTTCTACAGCTCCCTAGCAGTGGCCTTAATGAGACCCTGCAAGCAAAGAGCCAGAAGGGCTGAACGCTAGATTGTGCTGATGGGTGCTGCACAACCAATTAATTCACTGTGCCTAAATGCAACATAATTTAAACCCTGTTCAGGCGCTTGCCAGAACTCACTTTCTTAGCTTCCGGGATTGATATAATCTAAAGAGAGTTGGAGATATAACATGGCTGACCTTTCCTTGCCTTTCCTTAGCACCCAGCAAAGTGAGGCTGTGAAATGCCGTGATAGTGTCACAGTGTTGGCTTGGAAGTGTCCTTTGTATAAAAGAATGAGTTCACTGACATTTAGGCTAGTGTCAGAATGATAACAAACAGATGGACAAGTATGACAAAAAGATGGTCAAAAGAAGACATTTGCTCAGAGGTTTTGCATCCTCCACCCAGGACCCCTAAGATTCTATATGCCTGGATTCTTTTCATGTTGTTTGGAAATACCAACTTGTATACATGCTTTTTTTGAAGCTCTCATTCATTTCAATCGGTTTTGGCTGGCTTTTTTTCTCATAGAACACTCAGAATGGAGTTCCGGCACCTTTTTTGGATGGAACCTTGTAGGGTAGACAAGGTGGGTTGTATGACGTCTGTAAGTTTCGGCACCTTTTTTTTTTTTTTTTTTAAGAAAAAAAGCACTGGGCTTTGGTAAAGATTGAGCTGGATTACATTTCATGTGTCTTGCCGGAAAAGTCAACAGGGGATGAATGCCCTTCAAACTAAATTAAGAACGGCTTCTGAAATCTATTCTCCATCCCCACCACCTGCTGAGTCTCTTTTTCAGAAGATGGCTCTCACCATGCTTCTGCTGATATCATATGAAATGTAAGAGGTACTTATGGGTCTTTGAAGTTGATTCCATTTTACTTGACACCATATATACAGTACATACATGGATCTAATTAAAGAAACCCTTCACTAAGAACACTAAACTGAAGAAGTTAGAGGTGGAGGTGAAAAGGAGGAAACCTTTAATTGAAAGTACAGAAACCATGATAAGTGTCAATTCTCATTTGCTGAGTACTGCAGGACTGGAAAGGCTGCCCTAAAATTTTTGATATTAGGCAAAACTCATCCAGAGGAACAACTCCTGTTGTTTTAGGTCAGCTCTTCAGTCCAGCATTGTTTGGTACGGATCTCTTGAGGTTTCAGAAGGATTGACTTCTAAGACTCTGTTTCTATAGATGGAATCAGGAACACAGGATGCTGGTAAGCCTTGACTTACAACAGCTGAAGTTGCAATGGCACTGAAAAAAGGGACTTATGACCATTTTTCACACTTACAACCATTGCAGCATTCCCCCATGGTCACGTGATCAAAATTCAGATGCTTGGCAACTGGCTCACATTTATGACGGTTGCAAGTGTCCTGGGGTCATTTGTTCCCCTTTGGTGACCTTCTGACAAGCAAAGTCAACGGGGAAGGCAGATTCACTTAATAACCGTGTTTCTAAATTAACAACTGCAGTGATTCACTTAACAACTGCGGCAAGAAAGGTTGTAAATCGGGTCAAAACTCACTGAACAAATATTTCACTTAACAACAGAAATGGTTGTTGCTCCATTGTGGTCGCGCATCAAGGACTACCTGTATATCCCTACAATGGAGGGAGAATCAAGAAACCAGGATACACCCATGTGACCACAAGGTTGAGACCGAAAACACATTGAATGTCACATGTGTCATTTTTGGAACAGTTTCAGCTACCCGAGGAGCAATATGGAGCAGATAGAAATATGGATCATTTAGGGGACCATCAAGTCCGAAACTAGGAACTACATACGTAGCATGGAGAGGACTCAATTAATTCCAAGGTCATCAGATTGATCGACACCCAAACTTCGACTGTTTTATCTTGCATTCTCAGTTCAGGGCAAACAGAAGGAAACCCTATGCTCAAGAACGACATGGTTAAAAAAAAAAAATGAGCAGAAACCCACATTTCTGATTTAAATTGACTTCCTTGTTGCATCATGGGAAGTTTCTGAGGAGGTCTCCTTTTTCCTTTCTGTAAAAGCACCCATGTGGAAGGGGCACAGATCAGGGAGAAGCACAGGAACAAAAGCAATTGGGATGAGAACAAATAATGTCAAACCGTGGAGGAAAAGCAAATCAGAGCAGTGTCCTCTCATTCATGTTGCTTTTCTTTTATTCAGATCTATTTGGAGCTTTTCTTAGAAGAAAACAAAACAATCTGGGATTCCCTCTAGAGGTAGGACATTCAACTACTAGGTTTCACCCCGGATAGCTTGTTGAGATCAGCTAAGGACAGCTAGGTGCCAGATTGGGAACTTTAAAAATATACTAAAGTAATGGCAAGTCATTTATGTCCACTCTCTCACAAGAACCCACACACGCACACACACACACACACATACCCTCAATGGATGAACTTACCAGAGTTCAGTTCAACTTGAGGATATCTTTAGCTTTCAATTATTCACTGGTATGCACACATTTCCAGAAACTTTCCTACATACTCAACCTTGGCTTTTTTATATTTATTTTCTTAGATGTATATGGCCATCCATTTATCCTATCATGTTTGCAGGTAACCTCAGCAAACATTGCTCCTATATTCATATTCCACCACTGGAATTGTCAACATCCAGCTCAAGAATCCAAATAAAACTCCAGGTTCATCCTGTTTCTGAAAATCATACTGTTTATTGAATACACTGCTTGGTGATGTTGAAGCAAAACTAACTCTGAGGTTCCCACACCAATATTGTTTAAACAATATTTTTCACAGCCAAGCTCCCAACATCTTACGTAATTCATATCAACAAGTCCACTTTGTCTGCTCCCCCCCCCTTAAGCTAAAAGCAAATTGAAACACAGAGGCACATAGCTGCCAAAGTTTCATCCTTGACAGGAACATGAATATTCAACAATAAACAGTGTTTTGGATATAACAATGTCTGCTTCAAAAGGACCTTGAAGAGAGATCTACCTTCTTCACATGCAGAGAGACCTACCCCTTTGCTTTACCTGGTTATTTTGTTAGTTAGTTTGTTTGTTTATATTGCACTTGTGTCAGAAACACTGAGACGCTTCCGGGTTGAAAGAATTAGCTGGTGACATCACCATTGTCCTGGGGACATCCAGTTGGGGGGTCTTTTCCTGTCCCTGGCAGGAGCTGGAGTAAAGGATGAGAACTCAACCCTGCCCCACAGCAGCTCATGGGTCTTGAACGCGGGCTTGCTAACTTCCTGCCTAACGTTTCAACCATTCAAGCCACTGTGCTCCATAACCTAGTTATGGAAGATTGACAGTGTTGTGGTCAAAATAACACACAAAGGAAATGTACAGGCCAGAAAGGGTTAAAACCACTGTTTGTTAGTCCAAAGGTAGCAGCTTATAATGAATCATTGGTCTCTTTCAGAAATGCCAAGAACAAGCACCACAATGCTAGACTGGCCATACATAGAATATTAATCAAGGGCAGTGTTGATTACATTATAACTAATAGATTATAAGGATGAGATGGGCACTTTTAAGGAATAATAATGCATGTGTTCCTTGATAGCCAATAGTAACCTTGGGAATTCTACAAATTAGACAAATATTTTATTTTTTATTAACAAGCTGTATGATACTTATCACCGGGAATGAGAAGAGAAGAGATATACACCAGTGCACGTCCTTGATATTTCAGCTTGTGTGACTTGAATTTTATAGTCACTGCAGACATAGTACCAGGTTTCTTTCATAAAAACTCTCAGGTTATATGTTTGTAGAACTCACAGAAATGTACAATGGAGAAAATATATAATGTTGTTGCATTAAAGAGGGAAAATATGAAACTGTGTTATTGAAGTATGCAATTTTATGCCACGCCTCCTCAAAAATTAGACCATCCAAAAGCAGAATCAATTATTGCACAGGGTGGTCCACGGGGCATGGTTAAAAATAAATAAATATGTAATTGTGTAATTGAAGCTTTACCTGTTTTTATGGGCATCACGGCTGCCATGTTGCCTTTTTTATTATTCCATTTGGAAAGCCCTGATCGGTTAGCTATGATGCTTTTTATCAGCTGCACTAAGCCAGATTTCCAGGCTATATCA